TTTAGCACGAAATTCCTTGGACTGGGAATTACTGGAGTTCAATTATAGTTTTTTACTCTTCTTCACTCTTCTGATTTGCATCCCTATTTTATTCTCCTGAAATAAGTTGTGTCACCATTACGTCGTTATTATTGAATTGTACATTTTCATTCGAATAATAGTATTAGCCTGGTTATTATTTGAATAGCCACCATTTTCTATTTATTTATTTATTTATTTATGTATCTATTCATTTATTTGTTTACATCGAATGCTTTGATACCCTTTATCCCTTTATAAGCTTTATCACCATCATTAAAGTTGAAAAACAGTTAAACATGTGATGTCTCAAGGATTATTCCCTTCTGAAGTCGGCAGCTCAAGTTTCTATCCAATCTTAACCTCATCAAAAACAATTTATGCGAATTTGTTCTTTTTTTTCTGGTTCAGAACCTTGTCCTAAAAACTTGCTAAAATTCAGATGTTGGTCATTGGATTTTAGCAACTTGAGAAAGTGTCAGAATTTCCATTTTCTTTACCAATAAGTACAGTGGGGAGTCCAGAATTTCCTCCCACACTTCCTGGCAGTTCTTGCTCGGCGATCAATTCATAGTTGACGTTGACTACACTACTCAGGATTTCATTAATAATAATACGACACACGTCAGACGACGGAAGGGTCGGTTAGGGCCGAAGATTGGCCGTCGTATTGTTGTTGCCTATTCATTTCTGATAAGCGCGAGCCTTTCGATAGAATAGCCGGGGCCGGAATCGTCGCAACTGTTCAAATAGGCTCAAATTCGTGCCATCATCGCCATCCCACGAGGCCCAAAATCATAAAATGAGCTGTACAGTATTGTTAGAGTGAGGGTGATGGAGGGATGGGATGAAATCGGGTGATCATTCACACCCACTCTCAACACCACAGTGGAGGCCAGATCCAGCTGTGCGTAAAAAATGGGCTCCCACTTCTTCGACTCTTCCCACGCTGCTGAAAGAACTTCTAACCCACCCGGGTTGTCTTTTTTCAAGTCCTTCTATTCATACGAATTGACACCATTTTCTCTGATAAGACCTTTTTTCGCTGAATGCGGGACAATCATGAAAGTGTCGTAAAAGTAGTATAGAACAATGAAAGTACAGTAACAATTGAGCCGAATTATATTTTCTATGAGCTACAGTAACCTCATATTCGTTAGTGAAAGCAAAGAAAGAATTCCGATATAACAGCCGACGCTGTTTTGTGATCGTTCAGGAGTGGTAAAATGACAACAACGGACTCAATTAAATAAACATAAACAGATTGTAAATAAAAAACATCAATGACATCATGTACAACTTGCTGTGTATGCGGCTCCGGCGTGTTGACAACACTATCATTAGGATTTACTTCTCTATTTATACCTTCACAGGGACACATCCTCGCAACATGTATACGGTTAGAAAAGTAGATAAATATGTATAGAAATAAATAAATAAATAAATAAAAAAGTAAATAGAGGAAGAGCTCTTCATCCCTGTGAGATAACGCAGCAGTTTCAATCCGTTATTTACTACTTGCCTGCCGGATCTCTACCTGATCCATCTCCATCCACTGTCAGCTTTTTTTCTCGTCGATTTAATCGTCGCCTTTTTTGTAGTCGGATAAAATTTGAACTTGAAGTCAATATTCCGAATTTCAGATCGCTAGATGGAGAATGCCAACAGTTAGTATTCTTCTAGCAAAATGGAAATGGTTAATTGTTGGTTGTCTGGCAGTTTACTGTGTAGTATTGTATTGGCCGTTAACTGGCTATATCCGTAAGGAAAACTATGTTGGAGTGAGTCCCGTATATTTCATAACCTTTTCATTACCTTACCTCAGTTGAGTAACGGTGTTTTACTTCACGAAAACTCGATGCTGCAAAGCAACTATTACTGGTTTTCGAACTCTTTTTCACTGAAAGCGAAAATCGGCATCTACAGGGGCGATCTTGAGATGCGCCAAGCATCCAACATTTTGAGGAAATGTGGTGGCGTCATGGCCCATGTAACCGCTCTCAGTTGACTGGTTTGGGTGAAAATTATACAAATGATTGGATGATTCGTTCATCCCGACGATTCTAGTACCCGTCAGCCATTAGAGAAGAGATTAGGGCTGAAATCATCGGAAGTTGATCCGTCACGTGATCTCTGGACTGTGAGGCGATAGCGGCGCCCCTTTTCGCTGCCCTGTTAAAATTTCATTTTTTTACAGTGCATTTTTCCTATGTTCAAGATATTTTGGAATTTTCATGACTTTTAGGGCACACAGCTTATGCCTCAACCTATACAGCCCTTTCTAGTTTAAAGGTTGGTATGGAGCACCCACATCTCAGAAAATCTCATTGAGAGAAAGAAAGTGGTGCCTACAGCTGCCACTCGTTGGTAAAGCTATCGGAAAAAATTATCTTCAAAGCGGACCTTCTGACCTCTTGAAAGCTCTCCTTATTTATGTGGACCACTACAAATGCCATCAAGGAAGTGAGATGGTTCAGTAAAGTTTTGCCAAATCGATCGATCCATTATTTAAATATTTCTCAATGATTGCCGATTTATGTTAGCCACGGCTTAATAGGACATTAAGTTTGCTTTATCACTTTTTATTGTTTTATACCAATATTTATTTCACTGCGCTAATGTATAGCTGCTACGAAATAATTGTATCGAATGTATCAAAACGATACCCTAGGGTTGCGAACATTCCGTAAGGAAAAGGAAGGAGCAGCCTGTGGGATTACTTGTCATTCTGAATTACTAAAAAGTCAATTTCGTTGTTTATTTCTACCACCTAAGTCCTGATTACAGGAACGTTCAACAGTCAAAAATCTCAGGGCAAACTATGGTTCGAAGAAGTATAGTGATCAAACCTGTTGGAGTTCATACACACATGTGGCCTTACTGTGATGACCTTCATTTTCTTTGGTTTTTACTTGTTCCATATTCAGGTCTTCAAAGAAAAGTAACAGATCGATAGACGTGAAAAACTTTTAGTTCTACCATGCACTTACTTCCGGGTACTGTTTTTGCCAATCTCTTGGACGTTGGATAGAATCTGTTGGCTAACCGTTCTTCCACTTTTCTGCATTCAGTGGTTGCTATGATTAAGCTAGAGTTATCTCTACTCCCTTCACTCTTTGCTTGGAACTCGATCAAGTGCCGTACAAATCACTAATTTTGTGATTTCGAGTGGATGTCGACTCCACGACCATCTAGGAGAGTTTAACTCATGGGAGCATACCCCCGTTCCAGTTCTTCTACCTTTCCTCCCTTTTAGCGTAAATTCTCTAAATAAAACCTAAGATAAACTGCATTCGCATGTTTTTTCGAAGCTCTGAAGAAGTACACATCGAATGCGCCTATCGAAGCATTCTCCCATTTTATCTCATATCGAGAATACATTTTGAACTTACATTTAGCATAGGACCACTTTTGGCTTCTGAATGACGTTCCTTGGCTCATATCCGTCAATCCTATAACTAATAGCATGCCAGTCAGCTTGATAGGCACACTCTGTTCGTTGTTGCAACTTACAAATTCAAAAAAATGTGAATAGATGGGCTATTATTTGGTTCTACCTCAAACATACAAGGGTTCCGGTTGGCTGTGTTCGGAGGCGAACTTGGAAGTAGTCAGTCACTCATCACTGAGAAAATATAGGTTATACGTAGAGTGATTATCACTGCTATACATCATAAATTGGGATGAAGGATAAAGTTCCTGGCGTTAATCAATTCCCACTGAGGGATGCGCCCCTGCAC